TCCATATCCATATCCCCAACCACGAGGCCGTCATCCATATTTTCCCCTAATTTCGCGGCAAGCATGTCATCCGGAACTGACGAACATCGGACATGTTCGTTGTCAGCGTTACTAGTTATCTCGTGTCTACAGATGAAATTGTGTAATGCCATATGGCACCTGCACCGACGCAAATCATAGTCCGACATGTCTTTGAGGAACTTCCAGCGTGATTTCCACACTCCAAAAGTCCTCTCCACCACGCTCCTCAAAGATGCGTGTGTCTCGTTAAACAATTCTCTTGGGTTCTCGAGTCATCCATGATCCCAGAACTGTGCTTGGTGATACTGGGATCCTTTGAATGATGCCAAATACCCCTTCTTGTTTGGATGTTCGGCATCCACAAGGTAATATTTACCTATATTTGCTTAATTAGGTTAACGTACATACAACAAATTTATTAACTAATACTTAATGTCAAATGTCTTACCTTTCTGGGGTTGCGGGAACAGTGCATGTTCATTCTCAATTATTTCCTTGAATATGTGACTGTCATGCATGCTCCCTTCCCAACCACAAGATTGAAAATGAAGCACATGTCGAAGTCGCATACTGCTAGTATGTTTTGGGTTGGATACCTTTTGCGACCGTAATATGTGTCGACATCACGGGCAGGCAACACGGCTTCTACGTGCGTACCATCCAACACTTCAATACAATGCTGCCCAACACATGAGGCTCACATACAACACATAAATTAAAAGTAACTGAAAATGGCAACTGAAATGCTAACCTTGAATGGCACGTATTTGCCTCTGGATTGCAAATATGGAAGCCTATTATTTTGATCTCTAGTGGGCTTACAATGCTTTTCTGTGAGCCACTTCATTGTTTCCAACACTACATGGAAATGTTGCGACATAGTTTCTCTTGAGTGTTGGAACCATTCCTGATTTTTTCGGTTAGTGCAGCCGTGCAACGTATGGATGAGCATCGCAACACTTTCTTCAACATGTAATCCATGCGGTCTTTTAGGTACCTGTAAACTGAAATCATCACGTAATGTGTCACACAACGCATGAAACACATCTAGTGGCATATGCAAATTTTGTTCACACTTGCCTAAGCAAATAATTCTTGAATCCACGCACGATCAGTCAAAATAGAAGTTCGACATGGCATCTTCTCCATGTATTTCAGGTAATATGCCATTGCATGCTGCGCAACGTCACCTATTATGTTTTTTTCTTTGTCTTCCTGTTCTTCAATGAGTTCGACTATGACATCATCATAATTTCGATGGTTGCTACATTGATCGTTCCACATTTGGCAATTAACGAATCCTACAAGGCACACAACACACATATCAATTGTCCACTTGTAAACTGAGCACATTTGAAAACTATTTTTACTAAACAAAAAAAATAAATAACAGCCATCCACATGAGTATACCAAATATCAACACTGATCCATTACATTACATTCAACCATAAAACAAACACAATTGAAAAAAGTAAAGGGTAACCCATGATTCCATATTGCATAACACAAAGGTAGGTAGCGTTTGCAATGGAGGGTTTTGATTTTTGTATGATATATTTTGTATGGAATTATTATTTTCGTTTGGACAATAGTTGATTTGTATGGACTTTGATATTTAATGTTATTTATTTTTGGTATATGGATGCAGATTGTGGAATGATTGATAGTATGTATCATTTTGTTTTTATACGTATTACAGGTTGCATTGTATATAGACAGGTTGTGAAGAAATTATAATTTTGCAATAAAACATAATATCATGTTTTTGGCGACTAAACAATTAGTAGCTAAAAACAAATTGGGAACAGACATTTGGCGACTAAAAGTTTTGTAGCAAAAAAAAAAAGACATTTGGCGACTAAAACTTCTATAGCAAAAAAGAAAATTAAACATTTGGTGACTAAAATATTTTGTAGCTAAAAATAAAAAACTAAATTATAAACACACTTTTGCCGACTAAAATTTTAGTAGCAAAAAATGTAGAACTTTAGGCGACCAAATATTTAGTGGCCAAAAGAGGAACTCTTTGCCGACTAAACATTTAGTAGCCAAAGATGGGGACTTTCGGCGACTAAATTTTTAGTAGCTAAAAAAGAACTCTTTGCCGACTAAAACTTTAGTAGCTAAAAAGGTGGAACTTTAGGTGACTAAAAGTTTGGTCGCCGAAAAGGGTCTAATTTAATTTAATGTTTAACTTTTTGGCGACTAAATATTTAGTCGGCAAATAAATACATTTGGCGACTAAAATAATTTTGGTGACTAAAATAGCTTTTCCGACTACTCTTTGGCTACTAATTTTGCAACCAATAAATTTAGTCGCTAAAGCCCTTCGGCGACTAAAAAATTAGTCGCCAAAAGTGAAATTCTTGTAGTGCTCACTCAACTGAATATACACAACACACACTCACTTCTTGAGAACAATACGCGTGCACACACATGCAAAACTCTAACATACACACACACACACACACACACACGAGGGTTTTAATCCCCTACACTCAACACAAAATGCCCAACTCAGATTTCTCAATACACCCACACAGATTTCTAAGCACACCCACTAGAGGATTTTAATCCTCTACACCCAACATTATAGAATGTCTCAGCACATAATACACTTAATCACATCTTGGATCATGAATAGGAGTAGATTAGGCATAAATCATGCATCGTCTTCATTAAACATAAGTAACCTTCATTAATCAAGGTTAGCACATAACTTAATTAATCCAAAATAATTCCAATTAAGGCTCAATTTAATTACATGCGATTATACTAAACTGAATCAATTTTTAACAAAACTTCTCATATGGTTCCAAATATCCTAGTTAGCCAATCCATGAACTCAAATTCGGTTTCTGAAAGCATTTAGGCTAACAATTTCAGATTCAAAGTAGAAATCATGACAAAAAAAATTCAAATTAGCTAGATATACACAAATTACTACAAAGCACATATCACAATTAATAATAACACATAATTTCATTCTAAACACTTAGTTAGCATTCTTAATTATGAATTAGTAGTTATTTACGAATTGGGGTCGTTACAGTCTCCCCACCTTAAGAAGTTTAGTCCTCCAAACTCGAGTTACCACATATACATCTTGAGTTACCACATATATATATCAGATGCAGGTCAGATGTCTTAGGTTCACACTCTTTTCCATTTTCGTAGTGGTTTCCTCCCCATTCTGCTTGTTACAGAGACTTGATTCATTTCCCAGTCATTAAACAGTTCATTGGTCAGTTTAGTATTCTACTCGACAATCCACCACAGTTATTCAAGTCATTCAGAAGTTATCAGGAATACAAGGCAAATTCGTGCATTAACCCCATCACAGTAAACGTAATTCCGAAGTAATCATTCATATACTATTCATCAACCTCAGTTTCCACAGATTCAATTGTACTACATGTTAATACAGAAGCAGTCATTCACAGAATGTACTGATTACATATACTTCCTGGTAGTCAGAGTTTACACTAAAACTAGTTTGTTGTCAACAAGTCCCATAGCATCAATTTTGAAGTACAGTAACACAAAAGCAATCATTCTCTTATTCAAACAAGTTCATGGTAGTAACGGTAATACCGAAGCAATTAACCACATGTCATGCATACATTATCCCCATATTCCCTGGGCATAAGTTACAAAATTCTATAATATCATTCACGTGTTTTTCCAATCAGTTATAGGCATACAGTTAAAAGCTATTTATAATCACATAGTCTACTATTGACAGTTCACATTCTTTGTAAGTGTTCAAAATTGATTCAAATTTTCATTCGGTTAGTTCCCTTAGCAACACAACTCTGTCATTCAATCATAAGCAATTCATAATCCCCCGTAATGTAATCAAATCAGATAATGATTCTTGAATTAGGTAAAGTTCTCCTCAGATCAAATCAAAGTAAAGTCCTATCGGATCACATCAAATGTAAGTTCCATCCAATCAGATCAAGCAGAAGTTCAGAGCGTATGTCATTAAACAAAAGTTCTATCAGTTCAAATAAAGGTCTCATCAAACCAAAGTTCTATCAGATCAGATCAGATCAAATAAGATAAAAGTTTTATCCCTATCATTTGCAAACGAAGCACATTTGGTTCTATATTCGTACTCCATTCGCTTAGATACACAGTCAATAGTTCTATAGTGGTTTTAAGTTCATCAGTTCTCAAAATCACCTCAAAGTCATGTATCATAATAGTTCATATTGAAGTGTTTCAGATCATGTACAATGTGTTCTCCAAATAAGTTTACATGTAAGTGCACAGGCATGCAGTTGTTCATATCAAGAGGTAAGCATCATAGTCAATATAGCAATTTCCCAAATGAGTCTTTCATATAGGCGTAAGGTACACAACAACGTATCATATAAAGTTTCTCGGTGGCACACAATAGCAAATTGTTATGCAGAAGTTCTAAATCGGTCATATGGTCACTAAAGCATAGGCTCATTGGTCTAGCCGAGTAGTCTTGTCAAATTTCAACAATCATAGTTCATAGTTTAGGGGTTATCGCTTGGGGTCTTCACTTAGTCACACAATCCCAGAGTCATAGTCCCAACAGTCTAGTTAACAAAACAAAAAACATATCAATCATTCTGAGCAAGGGTATAGTCGTATATATGTATGTCTCGAGTCTAATAACATTGTCAAGCAAAGGTATGCATATATATGAGTCCGAACATTTTCTGTAGCATAGGTAATTTGTCAAACTTCATAGCGTTCCAAAAATGTTCGATAAGTAGAATTCTATCCCATCAGTTCTAACCACATATCACACATTAGTAAAATCAGGGCATGAAGCATAAGTTCATGATTCTAATAATTCAATTGGTTCAATCAACATATTAGCAATTCTTCTCATGCCAAAGGTCATATGTATTTTCAAACCGATTTTCACACATACACGTGCACATAATCAAAATAGTACCTGCATTAGTCGTCCCAGTGTTTCGAGCATCTCCTGGAACTAGGGTGTAAACCCTTCCTTGTCTCCAGGTACAAGAATAGAACTAGTCGTACTAACATTAGGCCTAGTGTTGTTTGGATGAGCTCGTGGGCAAGATTTAGCCAAGTGTCCTCTCTTTCCGTATTTAAAACAGGCTCCAGATAGGCAATGACAAATGCCCCAATGTTGTTTCCCACATTCTTTACAGATGGGTATATCATTGTTCGTATTGTTTCCCTGACTTACACTGTAAAAAGTTCTTGCCTTTGATTTTTCATTCATAGAGGTCATCGAATTACTGGTCATTTCAACTTTCTGTTTCTTTTGTTTCTTTCCTTCCGATTCAGTTGATGATGTTGACTTTGATATTTTCAATGCTGCTATGTTTGCTTCAGACATTAGTGCTCTGTCAAGGACATCTACATACTTTGACAATTTTAAAACACCAACTCGATCAAACACGTCAAGGTCAAGCCCACCTTCAAATTTTCTAGCCTTTTTGTAGTTAGTGTCTATCATGTGTGGTGCACATCGGGCTAGTTCAGTAAATTTTGCTTCATATTTGGCTACATTCATATTGCTTTGTTTTAGTTGTTCAAATTCGGATACCTTCCTATCTCGGATGCATTGGGGAAAATATTTTTCAAAGAAAATTTCTTTAAATCTGTCCCATGTTATACCCCCATTATCATTTCGTACTAACATCCACCATCTCCTAGCTTCTTCTTTAAGTGTGAATGTCGCGAACAAAACTTTTTGTGCCTCAGTACACGGAAATACTTTAAATATTTTCTTAGTTTCTAAAACCCAAGCCTCGGCTTTCAGTGGTTGAATACCCCCCAGAAATTCCGGTGGCTTCATCTTATTATATTTCTGTGTCAGTGTTATCATATCACAATTAGCTGGTTCAGGTACATGTATTTGCCTTTGTTGTTGTTGTCTCAAGGACTCGGTTAAGGCTTTAACCATTCTTTCTAACCTGTTAATTCTAGCATCCGAAGATTCAGATCTATCTACATTTCTCATTTCTTTCATTTGCCTATACATAAACAAGGTGAATATCAATGTAGGAAAAGTTCTCATTGATTTCATGTTTCATTTCATATCAAACACGTTCATCATTTTATCTCAACTCAATATATGCACTTAGGTTACGTAGCCTTTCACGTTCATATGGTCATGTTCACAAGAATTACACGTTCAATATTGAAATCAACATTATATGTTATTCCACATAACTACTTGGTTCATACACATAGGTTTCGTTTCATTTCATTTTCAATAAGGATATGTTCATAATAGCTTACAAACTTACACATGATAATGCAATGTCCCTATTTCATTTCTAGGACATTCTATAGCTCATATGGACTCATGTGTGCGGTATAACTCGTGCTCTGATACCACTCTGTCACGACCCAAACCCGTCCCTATAGGTTTAGCGTCGTAACCGGCCAGTAATCCTTGGATTACCAAAGGCCTTTGAACTGATTAACAAAATTAAAGGGCTAGCAGAAACAAATACAAAAATATAGTTGTCCAATGAGCTGTGTAGACTTACATGAAACAAAATATTTAAAACTTTATATACATAACCAAAAATCATTTGCACATTATACCCACACACTTAGCTATAACATCTTAAGTACAGCCAACAAAAACAAAATGAGTCTTATATACAGAAACAACAGAGCTTAAAACACATGACACTTCAGGAACCTCCATGTGAGGCACAATGGTTGGCTGACAACAAGACATAGATCCAGACAAAAGTCTTGAGGCCTGATCTCCAAAACGCTCACCTATACATATATATATATATATATACACACACACAGTGAGCTAAAGCCCAGTGAATAACATCAATGTAAAGAGGTTAGTGAACGAATTCCGAACATTTTATAATCATGAAACAGATCATAACATAATTATCCTCATATCCGAACATAATAATGGTACATCCCATAGAACACATCATATATTGTCTTTCGACTAGAGTAATCGGTTTTGGATACCGATTAAACACATATCACCACAATGAAGTGGCTAACGAGATCTCGTAATTACATATATGTCATGGACCCGCATTAACATGCCGTTCCCCATGACTTGGGACTATCTATGGATGCCATAATAGATTTCAAACATAGGACATTCGCTCACGTAAATAAATATCATTTCAAAAATCATAACTTATCAAATTACATTTGGAACATAATTCATATGAACACATCTTTACAATAACGTTACTCACAGTGGGCTTCCAGAAACGGTTGGTCAGTCTTCGAGTCTTGACCTACAAACACAAATGTACATAGCACAAAACATGTCTCATTATTACTCATTCATGTGGCCATACATGGCTTAGCTTTCTTGCTTTAACTTCCTATTCATTCCATGTCACATAGTTTGTTCATATAGAACCAGATACTCAGATTCGACACATAATTTCTAATTCACTTACATATGTTGTTTCTTAGCTTATTAATCCTTAATGGCTCATAAATCACGCCTAAGAATGCCCGAAAAGAGATGAGAGTGAAGATATGTACTTAAAACATATTTTGAAAACATGCTGCAAATAAGCTGGTGGCTAAAGCCAGCTTTTCGTGGCTAGAGCCAGCTGAAGGCAAAAACTGAGCTTGCTCAAGCCAGCTTTTGCAAATTCAAAATACTGGGAGCTCATAATGTTGGCTCGAGCCACCACTTCTTCGCTCGAGCCAGCTGTGAATTTCTGGGCACCAAGCTTAACAAAAATGGCTTCCAAACAACTTTCAAAACTTGAGGTCTTGCATGATTTGATCAAACACATAAAATAGCTTTAGAAAACTTCAATATAAGACCCTTAAAACATCTTTTATTCAAAAACGCATCAATTCTTGAAAGATTTGAATCGAAGCTCCTTCATGCAAGAATTTTCAACTCTTTTTATGGTTTTTCATAACATGCAAATGGTGATCAACAAACTCATAAATTTATAAAACAATGGACATGATTTAAACTCACATGCATGGAAGGACTTTACAACTCAAACTCAAAATGATAAAATCAAAGATGATCTACCATGAATACACATGAAAGTAATCTACATGTTCAAAGACCCATTTCTTGCATTCTCATGAAAGTAGCTTAAAACTTGATGAAATCATGATGCATGGAGGAATAGCTACATAAATTAGACATAGAATCCTTACCCAAGGCTTTAATTTCAAAAATGTGAGATGAATTTTCCTAGTTTTCTTCTTCTTCTTCAAACTTTTGGGCTCTCTCTGACTAAAGCCAAGCTCTCTCTCTCTCTCTCTCTCTCTCTCTCTCTCTCTCTTAAGCTTGAACTCTCTCAACACAAAGAACCAAATAAGCAAAGGAATGATACAAACACTCCCCCACTCAACTGAATATACACAACACACACTCACTTCTTGAGCACAATACACGTGCACACACATGTAAAACTCTAACACATACACACACAAGGGTTTTAATCCCCTACACTCAACACAAAATGCCCAACTCAGATTTCTCAATACACCCACACAGATTTCTCAACACACACCCACTAAAGGATTTTAATCCTCTACACCCAACATTACAGAATGCCTCTGCACATAATACACTTAATCACATCTTGGATCATGAATAGGAGTCGATTAGGCATAAATCATGCATCGTCTTAATTAAACATAAATAACCTTCATTAATCAAGGTTAGCACATGACTCAATTAATCCAAAATAGTTTCAATTAAGGCTCAATTTAATCACATGCAATTTTACTGAACTGAATCAATTTTTGACAAAACTTCTCATATGGTTCCAAATATGCTAGTTAGCCAATCCATGAACTCAGATTCGGTTTTTGAAAGCATTTAGGCTAACAATTTCATATTCAAAGTAGAAATCATGACAAAAAAATTTCAAATCAGATAGATATGCACTACAAAACACATATCACAATTAATAATAACACATAATTACATTCTAAACACTTAGTTAGCATTCTTAATTATGAATTAGTAATTATTTACGAATCGGGGTCGTTACACACATGGTGACAAATTTTCCAAAAAATAACATGGGACAATCAATCAAGAAATTTACTAACACGTCCATGTTGCCATGGAAGTGAAATAATTTATTAGGTATAATAACATTTATTTTGGTACATACTGATTTAAGCTTTCCAACCACTCTTCGGAAGCTGTGAACAACCCGATTTCCCTGTCAAACCCAATGCCGGTGACACCTTTGCTGTTGTCCATTAACTTGTTCGAAGTCAGCCATTCATTTTTCAAACTACCATACTTGTTCTTTAACTGTTTCATTTTATGACATCTACTCGTGCGCTTAGCGAATTTGATTGTAAGTTCCTTATACCCAACGACGGTGATGGTTGTACCTACCCGACGGTCCGCTAATATTTCATCCCTAACGCACTCTAGGAAGATTGATGTGGCTGCACTGTCCCAAGTTGCCTTATGTGCATGATCCACGTCATCAACAAATCCTTCTAGGCTCAATGGGCCAGCCCCTTTATTTTTAGGCGGTGTACGAGGGGACGACCATGTTCCAGCCATTATACTAATGTGGGAGCATGTATGTTTTACACATTAGTAACCAGCTGACGAATACATGTGCACAATACACTCTGAACGAAAACATGTATGCAAAATAGAATAGTAACAACGTATAACAAAAGCAATACGATAATTACTAAAAGCATATAACGTTTACATAAACAGGATGGCAATGCAATTACTTGTTCAAAGCAGTACTTCTTCCCAGCATTACTTATATACAAGGGTAATAAATAACTATATCAGCTACAAACTTTACATTCGCAGTAATAAGATGATGACCATGATGCACAAGACACAAAAACTGTTTTCATTACACGTAAAGTATTAATAATTGCAGGACATCATCCCATAATTGCATGACATTGGTTGTTGATGAGTCATGGTCGGGGCTCCGTCTCCCTGATTCGTCACACCAACGAATCCAATTAACATATTGCTGATGAGTAAGAAATGTAACACTTATTAGTTATGGGAATTACAGTTTGCAAACATATATGGAGTGAGAAATAATCATTTGTTACAACTTACCAGGGGACGAGGGGCAAACATAATATGCACGACCAAAATTTTGTAAGATCTTGAGACCTTCACAAAACAATGGCCATAGCCACAAGCACACATGCGCCGTGGCCATATTGACGTAGCAGTGGAAAAAAAGGAAGTCATCCGCTGTTTTGTAACATGGAACAACACTGGAGACAACAAAGGCAATAATGACATGAAAAAGTGTATTACAATTCGCCGTAGGATGGTCCTTTCATATTTTCGGGTATTTTAATTGAAATGTTTCGTGTTTGAAGAACAGACACACAGTACATATTACTACACACAAACAAACACATGACTACAATAGCAGCACATATTAGGTTAAATTTTACAATGCATGTATATTTGCTGAAATTTAGAGTTCAACAGTTAATTTATAACAGCAGAATAGATTGAATGAATAGGTAATTAATTTATAACAACAGTTGATTTTTAACAGAACAACAGATTGAATGAATAGGTAATTCATTTATAACCACACCATTGCAACAGCAAAACAGATTGAATGAAAAGCTAAAATTTATGAACCACAAATTTATCAAAAAAAATGTGTTAGAAGAACATAGTTAAAAAAAATAACAAGAAACCAAAAAACAACCAGAGTATGAATTGTGCCCAACAGATTTTCACAATAGGTTTTCTATCAGAGAAATAGGTTTTTAGGTGGTGCTTGTTTTGCCGTACTCATTTCATCAGAACAGAAGAGTATACAAACAAATAAAAACAAATAAAAAAAATGTACTGCACAACAGAAGAGTATACAAACAAATAAAATAAAAATAAAAAAAGAGAACCGTGGCAACAGATTTTCTATCAGATGAATTGGTTTTTAGATGGTGTTTGTTTACCATACTCATTTCAACAGACCAGAAGAGTACACACAAAAAATCAAATAAAAAAATTAAATAAAAACATTGGTGTTTGTTTTTCCATACTCATTTTAGTAGAACAAAAGAGTGTACAAACAAATTAAAAAAGAAAAAAAGAAGAGAATCGTGGCAACAGATTTTCTATCAGAGGAATTGGTTTTAGTTAGTGTTTGTTTGCCATACTCATTTCAACAGACCAAAAGAGTACACGAAAAATCAAATAAAAAAATTGGTGTTTGTTTCCCATACTAATTTCAGCAGAATAGCTGAGAAGCTTGTCACAAGAAAAAGATTATAAAAAAAATTGTATATGCACAAAAGATTTTGAAGGAAGAAAACAAAATCAAACAACAAAAACGCATCCAGTTTGTCAGTTGTTTTGCCCTATTTTGTAGTCCCATGACAACTGAACCACCGAAGTTGGAACCAAAAAAAAAAAACCAAAATAACTAAAGGAGGAAAAAAAATGTTCATCGGTGCAGATCGGTGAAAGAAAAAAAAACAAAATACCAGCAATACCAGCCAAATCATAGTGCGATCTGAAACAGTGGGTTCAAAACCAGCAAGATCAAGTTCGAAAACGAAGAAGAAGCACAGGAATAGGGTCAGTATACCCTACCTGTCGCTGGTCTTTGACGATCAGCGCGTTAAACAGTCGGCTGGTGGGTCTTTACGTCCAAGTTCTGCCGGAGAGAGAAACCTCACTCTTCTTTCAAACCCTCTGTTCACACCCAAGGTAGAGACAATACAGATGAAAGAGGTAAAAGGCCTTATGATCAGTTGTCTTTTGGGTCTGTAGATATGAGCAACGAAGGGTAAAAACGTCTTTTTACCTAGTGAGTGACATTCAGCTAGCCTCAACGTCTCTCCCTCAACTACAGTAAAGACTACATGGCTTTTTTCAAATTTGAGGCTAAAATAGCCTGGCAACCCCGATGCCAAACACCGCCAATCATGATCTAAAGGATTGAATAATTGAAGATGCCCAACCTGTACCCCTATGACCCTTTAGGAAGCTTCATTAGCAAACCTCATAGAAAGGCATAGGATTTTTTGTTCCTAAATTCTTTTATTTTCTCCTCATAATTCTTAAATTAAATATCAAATTCTAATATTTTAAAATTCTAATGTGATTAACAGTTATAAATATTTTAGAAGGATCAAAAAGACTTGGGGACAAAAGTTATTGGCCCTCTAAGGACGGCATCCATGAAATTAAAATACTCCTCTGTTCTAAAATAATGATCTTTTTTGAGAGATTTAACTTTTTTTGGTAGTATAACTATTGGATTTTAAAAAAGTTAATTTTTCAAAATTACCCTTTTGATAGTACATTTTTTGAGAATATCAATGTCATAATTGTACTTTTTATATTGTTTATTAATTTAAAAGAATGGCAAAATAGAAAATTTATATTATTTTTGTACTTGATTTTTGAAGAGGGACTAATATTTTGGGACAATGAAAAATAGAATAAATGACTAATATTTTGGGACGGAGGGAGTAACTAAAATATTGAATCAAATCTATCTATACTTATCTATATAACCAAATGTAGTTGTTTTGTCAAAAGCCTCCAAATATTTATTCCTAAATTCTCATAATTTTAAAACACTCTCTTTCCTGCATGGCAACCTTCTTTGATTGCCTTTCATGTTTTCTATTTTTCTTCATTTTTTATTTGTTTGATTAATTAAAATTAAAATTAATTTCATTATTTATGGATAAAGATTTGAATTTCAAAATTCGTCCATATAGATAAACATATAAGAACTGAAAATTAATTTTATAATCTACAGATAAAGATAAAAAATAAACAATTAATTTTAAAAAATTAATTTCATAACTTATAGATAATTTAAAATTTCTTCCCATAAATAAACAAATAAAAGTTGATAAATAACTTATAAAAATTAATTTCATGGCCTACAAATAAAGATAAAGATTAAATGAAAGATTAAATAATTGATTTTTTAAAAAAAACAAAATAACTCTCTTTTTTTCCCCCTCATTTCATACTTTAATTAATTTCATTATAGATAAACATATAAAAATTCATAAATAATTTATAAAAATTTATTTCATGACCTAAAGATAAAAATTTTAAAATTGTTTAAAAAAAATAATTTCATGACTTATAGATAAATAAACATATAAAAATTGATAAATAATTTATAAAGATTAATTTCATGACCTACAGATAAATATAAAGATTAAATAATTTATTTTCAAAAAATTAAAATAATAAAATTTAGATAAAGATATGATTTGTTAATCTATATATCTATCAAAACATATATATCTAAATCTTTATTTTGATTTACTTTTTTTTTTTTCTCCTATCACATATATCTTTTTTATTTTAATTTTTTATCTTATGAAATGCTCTTATCTATAACTTTTTATCTCCTATTAAATTCTTAACCTTCTCTTGATAATTTTTATTATTCGTTATTATCTACCAAATGATAAAAGATTATAAAAAAAAATTATCGCTTTGAAATGAGAATAGTATTAATAATGAAATAATAAAGGTTATATGGGAGAAGGTAGCACAAAAATCTCACAAAATTAATTTTGTTCATTATATTTATAAAAGGTAATAATTTGATATTCTTTCTATTAGTTATTAAAAATAATTTGCATTAGATCATTGTGATGTTTTTATTTTTTATTTTTTTATAAGGCTGTCATTCGTTATAGTATTTCTTCAATTCCATCTCTAAATTCTCTCTTTGAAATTTTTGCTTTTTCAATAATTAAGTTTAGAATCAATTTCTTATCAAATTTGTTTTCTTGATCCTTATTTTATTGAAGGATCGAGACGAATAAAATTTTCATATAATATATGAAATTAATGAATATAATCAAAGATGATAGGGAAGTACTACATATTTGTCAATATCTCTATGTTATTATTAGTTGATTTGCTAGATTGTATTATCAATTTAGAGCCCATATGATTTAATTTAATGTTCACGACTCTATTTGTATTTGACCATTTTTTCGTTGTTAACCGAAATAATTTTTTTTTTTTGGGTATATAATGATTAAAGCTATCATTTGTTATATTTTTTTAAGTACAATTCAAATATTTTTTTATCATTTTTTTATAAATAAAATGGATTAAAACTATTCTCTTATATAATTTTTATAATACTATGACATTCTTATCTTGATTAATTTTTTTAAAATGACGTAGGAACTATGCAAGTATTACTTAAACTATGGAGAATGGTTTATACTTTGATATGATATGAGTGTGTCATTGATAGAGGAAATCAAAGATAGAGAGTTGCTAATATAATCAATTAATGATTTGTTTGAGAAGTTCTTTTTATAAGCAAGGCAACAAATTAAGATTGAATTTTTTAAAAAACTACTTATAAATTATAATTAAAAGTTGATATTTTCATAATTTGATCCAACAATAATAATATACACCACTAATTTAAAAGTCCAAATAAATTTATAATAACTTTTCTAAGCTTATAGAATTTCTCTCTTTTAATGTTTTGTTTAGTTTGATATAAGTTATTTACGTTATCAAGTGATTGTGATACTATTATTCTCAACAATTTT